TTGGGCAGAAGGGCATACACATGGGGGGTGTAGAGGAGAACAACTTATATGGAATGAGGAAGATGAGAGGGATCTGGAGGAATTGGGAGGATGAAAAGCTGAAAATTCACCTCCAGAGTTCAGGAAGCGTTTTCCGTTGCTGACAGCTGGATATTTCTCCGCCAGGGACCAGTCAGGCCAGCAGAAGCCCTCGGCAGAGAAGACCACCTTGTGTTCAAACTGATGAAACTTCCAGAGCAGCTCGATGGGACTCCCGGCCAGGATGACATCATAGCTGAGAAGCAGAAGACCAAGAGAAGATGTGACATGTGTTCCATAATTGGGAAACAAGAACTGAAATCCATCATCCTACCTGTCTACAAACATGACAATCAGGTCTTCTTGCTCATGTACTTTTTCCAGCTCGTCCTTCAGCCATCGGACCTTCTGTCCTCCTCCCACAGTACGAGCCACATCGCCTCCTTTCCACTGCTGACCCAAACCCAGCGTCTACAGCGGTGACAACATAAAAAACATGAACCTAAGGGCAGGGCATCTGGACTTTCAACTAATCAAAGCGCTAAAACACATTAGTGAGAACTAGATATGTGTCTGTTCAGCCAGTCTTGGGATTCATACTCATCAACCAAGTGACACAGCAAGGGAGGTCACTCTAGTATTTGCTGGTTCAGCTCAGCTGCTACCTGGGTCACCCCTTCTTATATGAGCAGAAGCAATGAGGCTGGAGAGGTGACACCGGCAGATGCAAAGCTAATCATCATATAAGTAGTGGGCTACTTGCTGAACAGTATCATAAATCCTACGGCATGTAAAAACATCTCCTGTATATGCCATTTAACAAGTTGTAGACTCTGGGAGTTCTACGCACGCCCAAAAAACGCTTCCTTAAATGTACACAGGACGTGGGTAGTACGCCCTGTCCTTCTGCTGCAAACCCCTGGCACTTGACAGCTTTTCCCTGCTGTCAAATTGACAGCCGGGAGTTGCTGTGTAAATACAGCAGCTATTCCAGATGCTACAATTATTCGGCAGATTGGAGATACAAACTAACATTTAACCAGATCACCAAATGGTTTGAAATCAGACTTCTGCAGAAAGGAAAATCTTCTACAAGTGGTGTAGATGTCAAACAACTGCTAAATTTGTCCAGGAAAGGGCATCCCAACAAACTCAGCCCAAGAGCTGACCTTTTAACCACTTCCCATCCGGCCCATGTATATAAATGGCTGGACAGGAGCAGTGCAGGGGTGGGTGGCCGTTTATAAACATTCTCCCTGCTTGTGCGCACTCCCTGGGAATGCGTAGCACCATGATCTGGCATCCGCTGTGTCCTCCAATCGTTGTACGGGACCCTCTGTGTGAGGTCCCAATCATGTGATCACTGATTGGCCAATCAGTGATCACATGAAGAGTAGTAAGCAAGATGTCACTTTCTGACATCATTGCTTACTACATGTGAAATCTGAGAATGATCACAGAGATCACATGGTACAAGGCTATTCACAACAGCCTTGTACCATGTGACAAGCTGTGACCAATCACAGCTCACACAGTATTTCTGAATGGCTGCAAGAATGCAGCCAGGGAGAAGGAGAAATGATTGCTTTTACAGCCTTTATGGGTGTGTAAAAGCAATCAGTGTAAAAAAAAAAAAAAAAAATATCATCACCCCCCACAAGTAGTACTGTGTCACCATGGTGACCCTGTACTGCTAGGGTGACAGTATGTAGAAAAAAAAAACAAATAATAATATAAAAAAATAAAAATGTAAAAAAAAAAATTTAGAAAAAATTATAATTTTTGGTTTTAAACTAATTTGGGTTTTTTTTTTTTTTACTAAAAAGATAAGCAAATACATTTTGTCCAAGATTTATGAAGAAAGATTATTTAATTGCAAAATTGTATAAGAAAAACACTTTTTTCAAAATTTTTCGACATTTTAATTTATATAGCAAAAAAAATAAAAATCCCAGCGGTGAATAAATACCACCAAAATGAAGTTTTATCGGTCTCAAAAAAAAATGCTAAAAAATTCATATGGGTACAGTGTTGCATGACCGCACAATTGTCATTCAAAGTGTGATAGCGCTGAAAAGCTGAAAATTTGCCTGGGCAGGAAGGGGGGGGGGAAAGCGTCCGGACCGGAAGGGGGGGGGGAAAGCGTCCGGACCGGAAGGGGGGGGGGGGGGGGAAAGCGTCCGGACCGGAAGGGGGGGGGGAAAGCGTCCGGACCGGAAGGGGGGGGGGAAAGCGTCCGGACCGGAAGGGGGGGGGGAAGCGTCCGGACCGGAAGGGGGGGGAAAGCGTCCGGACCGGAAGGGGGGGGAAAGCGTCCGGACCGGAAGGGGGGGGAAAGCGTCCGGACCGGAAGGGGGGGGAAAGCGTCCGGACCGGAAGGGGGGGGAAAGCGTCCGGACCGGAAGGGGGGGGGGGAAAGCGTCCGGACCGGAAGGGGGGGGAAAGCGTCCGGACCGGAAGGGGGGGGAAAGCGTCCGGACCGGAAGGGGGGGGGGGAAGCGTCCGGACCGGAAGGGGGGGGGGGGGGAAGCGTCCGGACCGGAAGGGGGGGGGGGGGGAAGCGTCCGGACCGGAAGGGGGGGGGGGGGGGGGGGAAGCGTCCGGACCGGAAGGGGGGGGGGGGGGAAGCGTCCGGGTCCGGACCGGAAGGGGGGGGGGGGGGGAAGCGTCCGGACCGGAAGGGGGGGGGGGGGGGGGAAGCGTCCGGACCGGAAGGGGGGGGGGGGGAAGCGTCCGGACCGGAAGGGGGGGGGAAAGCGTCCGGACCGGAAGGGGGGGGGAAAGTGTCCGGACCGGAAGGGGGGGGAAAGTGTCCGGACTGGAAGGGGGGGAAGTGTCCGGACTGGAAGGGGGGGAAGTGTCCGGACTGGAAGGGGGGGAAGTGTCCGGACTGGAAGGGGGGGGGGAAGTGTCCGGACTGGAAGGGGGGGAAGTGTCCGGACTGGAAGGGGGGGAAGTGTCCGGACTGGAAGGGGGGGAAGTGTCCGGACTGGAAGGGGGGGAAGTGTCCGGACTGGAAGGGGGGGAAGTGTCCGGACTGGAAGGGGGGGAAGTGTCCGGACTGGAAGGGGGGGAAAGTGTCCGGACTGGAAGGGGTTAATGCTATAGAAGTCTTCATCCATGGCAACGTCTTTGCACCTTTCATGGCCGGTTTCTTTCTGAGACGTATTCCAGGCAGCAAGTGAATATAGCTGGTGAACTGCTGCTGCTCCAGCAACTACTGCAATCGTGTGAACTGAGAACACTGGAGGTCAGTAACCCACTTCAGCCAAAATCCACACTGAATAAAATTGGAGAATGCAAAATCTGGTGCAGCTCTGCAAAGAAACCAATCAGCTTCCAGGTTTTATTATTAAAGCGTAACTGAACAAGCTGAAGATAGAAGCTGATTGGCTGCCGTGCACAGCTGCACCAGATCCCGGGTGCTCCAGTTTTAGTAAATCTCCCCCCCAGTCTAGGCATCAAACAGCTGGAACTTAACCTCCTTAATGGTCTGATTATGTCCATATTTCTGTGCTCAAAGCGGTACATTTTTTTGCATGGAAATATGTTGTTTTTTATTGTAGGCTGTAATTTTTAGGAATAACTCACTGAAATCTGTCCAAACAAGAGTCTAGTAAACATCCCGGGGAGGATAAAATTTGAAACACGAAATCATAAATTATAATTTAATTAATAATCATAAAAAATAATATAATAATAAATTTAATTCAATAATATAATCAAAGCAAAAACACTGAGATGTGAAATAGAGCGCCAAGTTCGCACATCGCTGAGCTCAGTCGCAGAATCGTTTTCAGTGTCTGATGAGGAATTTCCCCCACGAATCATTATCACTCAATTCTGCAAGTGGTTCTGATTTACTATCGCTGTTCTCTAGCCGGTCTAAAACCGCGTCTGACCTAAAGGGACGCTTTTTGGACGCCATGGACGTTTCTCAGTTTCCAGGCAGAAAGAAGAGTAAAAATGCAGGCAGGGCACCGGACAAAGCACTCGGGACAAAATGTATGTGAAATGGTTTGATACAGGAATGTTATACTATGTGATTTTAGTGTATTTAGTGAATGTCACTTTTTAACATTTTCATATTTTCCATCAGTTCCATCCCCCGTACGTCCCGACATCGCAGGGAACGGAACCTGGAAGACAGATGGCGGCATCGGCCGGAGGACATTACAGGGGACACTGCAGGGGGGACATCGCGGGAGCGCAGGAGCAGGACAAGGTAAGAGAAGAAGAGATCCCGGAGCAACGCTGCAGTGTATTCCTGAGTGTAGCTCGGGGGGGGTCACCGCTTGTGGTGCTGAAACTTTACCCCGAGCTACACTCGGGAATACCGCCAGGGAGGCTAAATCATTGAAAGAACACATGGCTTCCTTTATATCAGGTCACCTGCACTTCCTTACCTTCGGTTCACATCTGTGTGGGTGGTACCCGCAGCTGCACCAACCACACAGAGGAATGAGGGACCTGCAGGCGGGTGCCATTAATTCTAATGACACGCCGCCCACACTGGAAATCGCAACCGTACTGGGAACCGAGGTTCCCAAGTGGTGCAGGGACTTCTTCCCTGCATTTTCCGGGACATAGGAGTCCATTCAAATGAATAGGCTCTTGTGCCCGGGCAAATCGCGGCCCACACATATGTGAACCAGGGGTTAGGGCTCATTCACATTAGAGGCAAGGACTGCCACTCCTCTGAAAAGTGATTCATGCTTGGATAACTTTTCAGAGGCGTTTGACATCTCTCCTCAACGCCTGTTTTAACCCCCTAAATGTCGCACCACCGCATGCACTGCACATGGTTGCAGGGCACCCCATTCACTTGAATAGGTTATGTTTGGCAGGCGCCAGTGCCCACCAAGCCACAAGGGATATAATGCCTGTGTGCATACCCCTGGCTGCTGCCTAAACGGTGAGTGGTTGGGGGGGGGGCATAAAACTTGGATTTACCACCCCCAACCACACGTGTGCCCGAACACTTAACCACTTCCCGTCCGGTCCATGTACATAAACGGCTGGACAGGAGCAGTGCCAAAGTGGGTGACTGTTTATAAACAGCCCCCGCATTTACTGCCCGTGAGCGCTCCCTGTGAGCGCACGGCACCACAATCCAGTGCCCACTGTATCCTCAGGACACAGCGCAACACCAATCACTGTACGGGACCTCTGTGTGAGGTTCCAATTCATGTGATCACTGATTGCCAGTCAGTGCCACCTAACAGTGCCAGTCAGTGCCGCCTATCAGTGCCGCCTATCAGTGCCATATATGACTGCTGCCTTTCAGTGCCCATCAGTGATGCCTCTCAATGCCCATTAGTGCCACCTATCAGTGCCTCCTCATCAGTGCCGCCTATCAGTGCCCATCACTGCAGCCTCATTAGTGCACATCAGTGGAGAAAAAATCACTTATTTACAAAATTTTATAACAAAAAACTAAGAAAAAAAAATTTTTTTTTTTCAAAATTTTCAGTTGTTTTTGGTTTGTTTAGCAAAAAATAAAAAAATAAAAAAAAAACTCAGAGGTGATTAAATACCACCAAAAGAAAGCCCTATCTGTGTCAAAGTGCGACAGCGCTGAGAGCTGAAAATTGGTCTGGGCAGGAAGGGGGTATAAGTGTCCCGTAGGCAGGAAGGGGGTGTAAGTGCCCCGTAGACAAGAAGGGGGTGTAAGTGCCCCGTAGGCAGGAAGGGGGTGTAAGTGCCCCGTAGGCAGGAAGGGGGTGTAAGTGCCCCGTAGGCAGGAAGGGGGTGTAAGTGCCCCGTAGGCAGGAAGGGGGTGTAAGTGCCCCGTAGGCAGGAAGGGGGTGTAAGTGCCCCGTAGGCAGGAAGGGGTGTAAGTGCCCCGTAGGCAGGAAGGGGGTGTAAGTGCCCCGTAGGCAGGAAGGGGGTGTAAGTGCCCCGTAGGTGAGGGGTTGTAAAGGCTGAATGCATTTTATGTTTATACAAGACATTTATACATTTGGTCTTGATAACGCCCTATGGGAGGGGCGAAACGCGTTGACGCATTTCCGGTCCACACTCCATGCGCCTGACGTCATTTCCGGTGAGTGGAACGCACGCTGAGCGGTGCGTTCCAGCGGCCATCTTGGTTCACTGTTTGGTCTAAGAGGAGTCCTGTCTTTGTTCCACTGTGGATGTGAGAGTCCTGGAAGGAAAAGTTTGTATATCTGCTGGAACTGAAGCCTATTATACATAATAAACATGCCTTTAGCAAGTGTTTAACATGTGAGTGGCCTTAATCTCCATTTGGAAAAAGTTACTATTGTGTGACAATATTATGCTATGTGAGTTTTTTTTCTTTTGGTTGGATGGTGGAGTCTATTCGGAGGGTGAAGATTTTCCCTAGCGTGGCACCAAAGAGGGTTTAGGATCCCTAAAAATTCCTTAAAGGTCTTTTACTCACCAAGTTCTGGTGAGTGTATTCGATGTTGGTTTGTGCACGGGTGGAAGGTGAAAGTATTTTTTTGAAGAAAAGAAGTTTGCACTTTTATTTCAACAATTTAATTATGTTTTCAGCACATGGACTTTTGGGTGTTTTTGTTTAAGATTAAGGACAAACACGATTAATTTATGCACCTATTTTATATTATTTATTATATTGATTAATCATCTAAATTTGCGCTGTTTATTTATATTTGAATGCATTTTATGCATAAAGGTAAAAAAAAAAAAAACCTTCTGTGTGCAGTAGCCTCACCTCGATCCAGCAATGTGCACGACAGCCTCGACTCTCCCTTCTCATTGGCTGAGACAGCAGCGGGAGCCAATCATATCCAGTAAGCAGAAGGGGGGGTTTCAGCGGCTGTGTGTGAATGGACAGGAGCGAGCCTGCATGGGATCCCCCCATAGCAAGCTGCTTGCTACGGGGGCACTTGGCAAGAGGAAGGGGCCAGGAGCGCTAGTGGAGAACCCGAGAAGGAGGAGGATCGGGGCTGCTCTGTGCAAAACCATTACACAGGGCAGGTAAGTATGACATGTTTGTTATTTTTTTTAAAAATGCCTTTATTATCACTTTAAATGGAAGATGAGGGGGTTGTAAAAAACACAGCTGAGATGTGGTTGGGGGGCAGTAAAAACACAAGTGTAAATGAGACCTTATGGTAATGAATACAAAGTCATTCTCTCACCCGCACGGTGTAGTTGAAATGCCGGGCTGTCCTCAGGAATCGGTGATATCCTTCGGTTTCATCTGTGGCCACCGTGATCACCAGCAGCTTGTCTGAAAAACACAAAACATGATAGAAATCTATTGTGAGAAAGGCTTTCATTACTGGGGGGGGGGGGGGGGGGGGGGGGGGGGGGGGGGGGGGGGGGGGGGGGGGTCATCCGGCTACACCGTTTGTTTGCAAGTTATCATTTCCACTCCAAAGACGTGCTGGTAGGTGAATCGGCTCCTGTCCAAATTGTCCCTAGTATGTGTATGTATGAATGTGAGTTAGGGACCTTTTAGATTGTACGCTCCTCGGGGGCGGGGGGACTGATGTGACTGTACAATATATATGTAAAGCGCTGCGTACATTGACGACGCTATATAAGTACCTGAAATAAATACATTTCCATCATCATAGTGTGAATCTGGGCTTAAGCCTCGCATACACGTTGAAAATATTGTACAAACGATCGTCCGTCTTTGCAGGATACTCTCATATCGAGAGAGGGGTTACTAAAGTTACGAAAATTCTCGTACGACAAAATAAAAATTCGGAAGCGATGTAATGTATTGTATTGTATTTTCATCCAAAATCTGTATCGGTTAAACGAGAGTCGTAGGATCTGGTAATCATGCGGCACAAATGTGCTGGTCTCTTCCGAGTACTATTGGACGATTGGTGCGCACGAACGATCAGGTTACGGTACGATCGCTTTGAAAGAGGTATTTTTCGTACGATATTCTGGTGGTGTGTTCGGGGCTTTACAGGGACTTTCATTTGATACAACGTCAGCGTTTGGTTCCTATTAAGGCCCTGCTGATATTCAGGCGATTCGGAATCGCAGGCAGAATTGGCTACATTGGCAGAATGTGGCGTGATTTTGCAGTGGTTGTCACGCAGCCCAAGATGCTAGAATGGTGGGAAAATGCAGAAATTGCTCTTGGCTCAGGGCCAACATTTGGTCCCGGAGCTTCTTTGGAGCTACCATCATGCATAGGGCAGAACATTCAAATGAATGGGTTGCACTACCACATGAGAATTGTACTTAAAAAAAAAAAAAAAAAAAAAAACGCATCTGGGCCTGATATGTGTAAGAAACTATATATACTGTAGTTACTGTACATAGTTAGTCTGGCTGTAAAAAGACAAAAGTCCATCCAGTTCAACCATTAAAAAAAAAAGTTATAATCCTACACCCACAGTTGATCCAGAGGAAGGCAAAAAAAAAAAACCCAGCAAAGCACGATCCAAGCTGCTCCTGCAGGGGAAAAAATTCCTTCCTGATCCCCCGAGAGGCAATCGGATATTCCCTGGATCAACGTCACCTATAAATGTTCTATCCAGTTATATTCTGTGTATCCAAGAATGAATCCAGGACTTTCCTACAGCAATCCACTGAGCTGGCCACAACCAACTCTTGAGGGAGTCTATTCCACATTCTCAGCTCTTACTGTGAAGAAAAGCTCTTTTCTTATTATCTATAGCTTTTGTAACTTTGGCCGTAAGCCACATAGGTTGGATTTTTAGCCTTTTATACTTGTTGCCCATGGGAATATATTTTGCAGCGTGGTCACATACAGTCTCTTTGAAGAACTCCCATTTCTGTGTTGTGTTCATCAATGCCAATATTCCCTCCCAGTCTAAGTCTGGCCATACATTATACAATTTTGTTTAGAAAATTGCTTTAGATTTACCAAAAACCATATAATAGGTCAAACCTGAACAACACTTTCAATTGTATCCAATTAAGCAGGCCCTTGCACTACATAGTTGATGGTAAATCTAAAGGAAATTGGGCAGAAATTGAACAGAAAATTTTATAGTGTATGGCCAGCCTAAGTCTTGGAGAGCAGTTCTCAGCCTTGGAAGATTAGCTCTCTTAAAATTGAGCGTTTTTATTTTTCTTGTATGTGCTCACTTTTTACAGCTAACAAATGAAATCATGTTATGGTCACTGCTACCCAGATGTTCTTTTATACGGACATTCGTAATAAGCTCTGCATGGTTGGAGATTACCAGGTCCAGCAGAGCATCATTCCTAGTTGGGGCCTCTATGGACTGTACCATAAAATTGTCCTGTAGTAGGTTTAAAAATGGTTGCCCTTTAACTGTTCTTGAAGTACCATTACTCCAGTCAATTTCCGGGTGGTTAAAATCTCCCATTATTATCACTGTCCCAGCCCTTGCAGCCCTTTCCATCTGTGCAAAGAGCTGAGTCTCCACCTCCTCATTAACTCTGGGAGGCCTATAACAAACTTCAATGATTACCTTTCTAGTACGGACCCCCATGTGCAGCTCCACCCATAATGCTTCAGCCTCATCACACTCTCCATCATCTAGGTCCTCTTTCACACTTGCTCTAAGATCACTTCTCACATAGAGACAGACACCACCTTTCCTATTTCCCGTCTCTCTCAATGGGAACACAGCCAGGAATATTAATGGCCCAGTCATGTGAAGAATGAAGCCAAGATTCAGCAACACCAATTAACCCCTCGCCTACAGGGCACTTTCACCCCCTTCCTGTCCAGGCCAATTTCCAGCTTTCAGCGCTGTCACACTATGAATGACAATTGTGCGGTCATGCAACACTGTACCCATATGACATTTTTATAATTTTTTTTGTGACAGGTAGAGCTATATTTTGGTGGTATTTAATCACCTCTGGGTTTTTTATTTATTTTTTTTCTTAAACTCAAAAACCACAGAAAATTTTGAAAAAAAAAAGTTTTTTCTTAGTTTTTGTTATAAAATTTTGTAAATAAGTGATTTTTCTCCTTCACTAGTGTGCGCTAATGAGGCTGAGTGATGGGCACTGATAGGCTTCACTGATGGACACTGATAGGTGGCACTGATGAGGAGGCACTGGTAGGTGGCACTGATGGGCATTGACAGGCAGCACTGATACATGGCACTGTAGGCAGCACTGACTGGCACTGTTAGGTGGCACTGATAGGTGGCACTGATGGGTGACATTGAAAGGCAGCTCAGATGGGCACTGATATGTGGCATTGATGTGCACTGGTATGCACTGATATGTGGCATTGATGTGGCACTGCACGTCGCACTGATGGACACTGACAGGTGGCACTGCTGGAGCTACACTGATCATCAGGGCACACTGATCATCAGTGTCCTGATGATCAGTGTACATGTCCCCTCCGCGGAATGCTGATTACCGGCTCTCCTCTCCTCTGTCAGTGTGACGGCTCGAGAGGAGAGAAATGCCGATAACCAGCATTTCCGTGTTTACATGTGATCAGCTGTGATTGGACACAGCTGATCACATGACTGAGCCGACATCCTCGGCTCTTTCCGTGATGGGTGATCCACTGTGTCCGAGGGACACAGCGCACCGCCGACCGCCGCGCATGCACGGTGAGAATGGGAGGACATCATATGACGTCCTCCCAGGACGAGAGAAACCACCTTGCGCCTGTCATATTACTATATGGCGGGCGGGAGGTGGTTAAATCATAGTTCTCTTCATGCACCAAAGCTTCCAACTCACCTATTTTGCTTGGCAGACTTCTGACACACACACACTGACACACACAGACACACACACACAGACACACACACACACAGACACACACACACACACACAGACACACAGACACACACACACACAGACAGACACACACAGACACACACACACAGACACACACACACAGACACAGACACACAGACACACAGACACACACACACACACACACACACACACACACACAGACACACACACACACAAACACTGACACACACACACACAAACACACTGACACACACAAACACTGACACACACAAACACTGACACACACACACACTGACACACACACACACATGACACACACACACACTGACACACACACACACTGACACACACACACACTGACACACACACACACACACACTGACACACACACACAACACACACTGACACACACACACACACACACTGACACACACACACTGACACAGACACACACACACTGACACACACACACTGACACACACACACACACTGACACACAGACACACACTTTGGCAAATTTGAAAATTTGGCATCCCCTGGCAGAGATGGTGAAATCTTGGAATTTATATTGAAAATATGACTGAGGATGCCACAAAACTGTCTTTTATGTAGGGATAGTGATCATATGAAGCCATTTATTATCACACAGTTGTTTGGTTCCTTTATAAATCACATTGATAACAGAAATCACCCGAATGGCCCAGATCAGAAGTCTCCGCCCCCTGGAAAGTTTGGCCTTGGTACAGACACTAATTTCTCATATCTGTGGCTTTTTACATTGCAGTTAGTGTCTGTGTATAAATAGTCAATGAGTTTGTCAGCTCTCACCTGGATGCACTGAGCAGGCCAGATACTGAGCCATGGGGAGCAGAAAAGAACTGTCAAAAGACCTGCGTAACAAGGTAATGGACCTTTATAAAGATGGAAAAGAATATAAAAAAGATAATCAAGGCCTTAAATAGGCCAGTCAGTATTGCTCAACCACCTATTAAGAAGTGAAAAATTCGGGGATCTCTTAATACCAATCCAAGGTCAGGTAGACCATGAAAGATTGCAGCCACAACTGATGGATCAATTGTACAGAATACAAATAAAAATTCACATGTAACCTCAGGAGAAATACAGGCTGCTCTGGAAAAAGACAGGGTGGTAGTTTCAAGGAGCACAATAAGACAAAAATGAACTGCATGGTGAAGTTGCCAGAAAGAAACCTTCACTGTGCCAATGCCAGAAAAAGCCAGGTTACAAAATGCCTGACAACACCTTGACACGCCTCACAGCTTCTGGCACACTGCAATCTGGAGTGATGAGACCAAAATATAGCGTTATGATCTCAACCAAGTGCTAAGTTTGAAGAGGGATCAACAAGGTCTATAGCGACAGGAATACCATCCCCACTGTGAAGCATGGTGGTGGCTTGATGGGTTTTTTTTTTGGGGGGGGTGGGGGGTGGGCACAGGCAGGCACAGCGAGCCTTGTGTAAATTGATAGCAAGATGAATTCAGCATATTATCATAAAATACTTGCAGACAATTTGCATTCTTCTGCGCGAAAGCTGCGCATGGGACGCTTGTGGACTTTCCATCATGACAACGACCCTAAGCACAAGGCCAAGTTGACCATCCAGTGGTTACAGCAGAAAAAGGTGAAGGTTCTGGAGTGCCTATAAGTCTCCTGACCTTAATATCATCGAGCCGCTCTGGGGAGATCTCAAACGTGTGGTTCCTGCAAGACGAGCAAAGACTTTGCCTGACCTGGAGGCATTTTGCCAAGTCAAATGGGCAGCTATTGCACCTGCAAGAATTTGGGGCCTCATAGACCACTGTCATTGATGCCAAGGGGGTCAATACACGGTATTAAGAGCTAGGGGCTCTCCAAGGGTTCATGCAAGACGAGCAAAGACTTTGCCTGACCTGGAGGAATTTTGTCAAGACGAATTGGCAGCTATAGCACCTGCAAGAATTTGGGGGCCTCATAAACAGCTGTCATTGATACCAAGGGGGTCAATACACAGTATTAAGAGCTAGGGGCTCTCCAAGGGTTCATGCAAGATGAGCAAAGACTTTGCCTGACCTGGAGGAATTTTGTCAAGACGAATGGGCAGCTATAGCACCTTCAAGAATTTGGGGCCTCATAGACCGCGGTCATTGATACCAAGGGGGTCAATACACGGTATTAAGAGCTAGGGGCTCTCAAAGGGTTCATGCAAGACGAGCAAAGACTTTGCCTGACCTGGAGGCATTTTGCCAAGACGAATGGGCAGCTATAGCACCTTCAAGAATTTGGGGGCCTCATAGACCACTGTCATTGATGCCAAGGGGGTCAATACACGGTATTAAGAGCTAGGGGCTCTCCAAGGGTATGCAAACCTTAGAACACAACTGTATGGACACACACACTCTACATCTGGGGAGAACGGTATGGAAAACTGCACATTTCCCAGAACATGTGCTCACTTTCCTTTCTCAAGCCAACTTAAAAAAAAAAAAAATAAAATAAAAAAAGAGTTGTCTGGAAAAGCACTGGACTTTGGCCATTCCGTATATCTGAGCCGGACTCCGGGGAAATCCAGCAACATCTGCTGTGAGAGGATCCATTTTTCCTCTATCAGCGCTTTCGTAGTTTGGCCGGAGAAGCGCCGTCTCTTGGGGCCGGTTCTGCAATTCTACATTTGTACGAAAAGTGTTTCCAAGTGAATAGAAAGCCTCTAATAATGCGGAGGATGCAGTAAACGGGAAGTGGTGGAAGTTTTGTGCCCCATCACCACCACATTGGTTTACTTACAGTGTGTTAAGAAATCAGAGACTAATGCTGGCCACACACACACATCATTCCGAATACATTTTACAATTAAAGATGAAGGTTTCATCCAATATCCCTCCCCTTGCTCCCTCCCTCCCCCCTCATCAATATATGAATGACATTTTAACTTTAGCTTATAGGAGACCCAGTGATGTCATCGCTGGGTCTCTGTGCTTCTCTATGCAATGCAGCCAGATCATTGGCTGGTGGGAGGGGTTGGCAGAGTGGTGTACATAACTTCCTGAAAACATCACAGCATCCTGCCTCAATACTACTCCCAAGAGTCCTCAGTCCTGATGCAAGCAGTGGGCTGGCTCCTGGGAGGAGTTATGCAAATATCAAAATGCCTTGATTGGGGAGGTCATTCTGTAAGAGTGGGCGATCCTATACAGGCTGAATTTGCATGCAGACCACCTTAGGTAGCACCAACATGTGATGCTGACCCTCTGATGGACAGAACTGAAATCCAATGAATGAAAAGAGGCGGGACAGTGAGGATACCTTTGGATCACAGCATGCCCTGCCAATGTGCAACGTCGTGGGCGAGGCTCCCCGGCCCAAGCTGAAAAGTAGCGGCCCAGGCTCCCCGGCCCAAGCTGCAAAGTATCGGGCGAGGCTCCCCGGCCCAACCTGCAACGTCGCGGGCGAGGCTCCCCGGCCCAACCTGCAACGTCGCGGGCGAGGCTCCCCGGCCCAACCTGCAACGTCGCGGGCGAGGCTCCCCGGCCCAACCTGCAACGTCGCGGGCGAGGCTCCCCGGCCCAACCTGCAACGTCGCGGGCGAGGCTCCCCGGCCCAACCTGCAACGTCGCGGGCGAGGCTCCCCGGCCCAACCTGCAACGTCGCGGGCGAGGCTCCCCGGCCCAACCTGCAACGTCGCGGGCGAGGCTCCCCGGCCCAACCTGCAACATAGGAGGCTATGGAGGTGTGTGGAACACTTGAATCTAATAATTTGGAGGGCTGGCTCAATACTTTTGGCAATATAGTGCACGTACCTATTTTCAGCCCGCTCCAGTAAGGCCATGTAATCCAGCTCCCAGTGGCAGCTGCAGGGGAGAAGGAGCAATCAACAATAGCTGGTACACAGGATCTCATGGATGGTGTCACCACTCGCAGGCATTCCTCAGTTGTTGTCGATTGCTCCCTCCTCTATCCTGCAGTCATTTTTTTCTTTTTAGCCAGCACTAGTGTTAGAAAGGGGGGGGCATTTTTAGGACTAGTTACGTGTAAGCTGGAATTGTACTTTACCTTGAGTGTATTTTGTACTGAAAATATATGTACTCTAATAGTATGTGACCTAAAATTGCCACCACCATCATTCCCCAGGATTTCAGAAAATATGTTTGGGAGTTTAACCACTTCCCGTCCAGCCCATGTACATAAACGGCTGGACGGGAGCAGTGCAGGAGCGGGTGGCCATTTATAAACGCCCTCCCCGCCCCCTGCCTGTGCCTGCCTACCTGGGAGCGTGCGGCACCACAATCCAGTGCCTGCTGTGTCCTCCGGAACACCAATCGCTGTATGGGACCTCTGTGTGAGGTCCCGATCATGTGATCACTGATTGGCCAATCCGTGATCACATGAACAGTAGTAAGCAAGATGTCAGTTGTGACATCATTGCTTACAACTAGTGAAATCTGTGAATGATCAGAGATTACATGGTACAGGGCTATTCACAACAGCCTTGTACCATGTGACAAACTGTGACCAATCACAGCTCACACAGTCTTTCTCAATGGCTGCAAGAATGCAGCCAGAGAGAAGAAGAAATGATTGATTTTACAGCCTTTGTGTGTAAAAGCAATCAGTGTAAAAAAAAAAAGAAAAAAAAAAATCATCACCCCCCCCCCCCCCAAGTAGTACAGTGTCCCTATGGTGACATTGTACTGCTAGGGTAACCATATGTGGGAAAAAAAAAAAATAAAAAAAATGTAATTTTTAAAAAAAAAAAATATAATGACCTAATTTGGGTAATTTTTTTTTTATTAAAAAGATAGCTGAATACATTTTGGCCAAGATTTATGAAGAAAGATTATTTATTTGCAAAATTTTAGAAGAAAGACAGTTTTATCAAATGTTTGGACTTTTTCATTTATTTTGCAAAAAAATAAAAATCCCAGTGGTGAATAAATACCCCCAAAAGAAAGTTACACCTGTCTAAAAAAAATGCTAAAAAATTCATATGGGTACAGTGTTGCATGACCGCGGCAATTGCCATTCAAAGTGTGATAGCGCTGAAAGCTGGAAATTGGCCAGGACAGGAAGGGGGGGGAAAGCGTCCCGACTGGAAGGGGGGGGGGAAAAAAGCGTCCCGACTGGAAGGGGGGGGGGGGGGGGGGAAGCGTTCCCGACTGGAAGGGGGGGGGAAAAAAAGCGTCCCGACTGGAAGGGGGGGGGGGGGAAAGCGTCCCGACTGGAAGGGGGGGGAGGGGGGGGGGGGGGGGGGGGGAAAGCGTCCCGACTGGAAGGGGGGGGGGGAAAAAGCGTCCCGACTCTGGAAGGGGGGGGGGGGGGGGGGGAAAAAAGCGTCCCGACTGGAAGGGGGGGGGGGGGAAAAAAGCGTCCCGACTGGAAGGGGGGGGGGGGGAAGGGGGGAAAGCGTCCCGACTGGAAGGGGGGGGGAAATGGGATGAAAGCGTCCCGACTGGAAGGGGGGGGAAAGCGTCCCGACTGGAAGGGGGGGGAAAGCGTCCCGACTGGAAGGGGGGGGAGGGGGGGAAAGCGTCCCGACTGGAAGGGGGGGGAAAGCGTCCCGACTGGAAGGGGGGGAAAGTGGGAAAGCGTCCCGACTGGAAGGGGGGGAAAGCGTCCCGATGGAAGGGGGGGGGAAAAGCGTCCCGACTGGAAGGGGGGGAAAGCGTCCCGACTGGAAGGGGGGGGAAAGCGTCCCGACTGGAAGGGGGGGGGGGGTCAAAGCGTCCCGACTGGAAGGGGGGGGGGGGGAAAGCGTCCCGACTGGAAGGGGGGGGGGGGAAAGCGTCCCGACTGGAAAGGGGGGGGGGGGGGGAAAAGCGTCCCGACTGGAAGGGGGGGGGGGGGGGGGGGGAAAGCGTCCCGACTGGAAGGGGGGGGGGGAAGGGGGGAGCGTCCCGACTGGAAGGGGGGGGGGGGGAAAGCGTCCCGACTGGAAGGGGGGGGGGGGGGGAAAGCGTCCCGACTGGAAGGGGGGGGGGGGGGTGGGGAAAAGCGTCCCCGACTGGAAAGGGGGGGGGAAAAAGCGTCCCGACTGGAAGGGGGGGGGGGGAAAGCGTCCCCGACTGGAAGGGGGGGGGGTGGGGGGGAAGCGTCCCGACTGGAAGGGGGGGGGGGGGAAAGCGTCTCCCGACTGGAAGGGGGGGGGGGGAAAAGGTATAAGCGTACCGGACTGGAGGGGGGGGGGGGGGAAGCGTCCCGACTGGAAGGGGGGGGGGGGAAAGCGTCCGGACTGGAAGGGGGGGGGAAAGCGTCCCGACTGGAAGGGGGGGGGGAAAGCGTCCGACTGGAAGGGGGGAAAGCGTCCCGACTGGAAGGGGGGGGGAAAGCGTCCCGACTGGAAGGGGGGGGAAAGCGTCCGGACTGGAAGGGGGGGAGGAAAGCGTCCCGACTGGAAGGGGGGGAAAAGCGTCCGGACTGGAAGGGGGGGAAAGCGTCCCGACTGGAAGGGGGGGGGGGGGGGAAGCGTCCCGGACTGGAAGGGGGGGAAAGCGTCCCGACTGGAAGGGGGGGGGGGAAAGCGTCCCGACTGGAAGGGGGGGGGAAAGCGTCCCGACTGGAAGGGGGGGAAAGCGTCCCGACTGGAAGGGGGGGAAAGCGTCCGGACTGGAAGGGGGGGGAAAAGCGTCCCGACTGGAAGGGGGGGGGGAAAGCGTCCGGACTGACTGGAAGGGGGGGAAAGCGTCCCGACTGGAAGGGGGGGAAAGCGTCCCGGACTGGAAGGGGGGGAAAGCGTCCCGACTGGAAGGGGGGGAAAAAGCGTCCCGACTGGAAGGGGGGGAAAGCGTCCGACTGGAAGGGGGGGAAAGCGTCCCGACTGGAAGGGGGGGGGGGAAAAGCGTCCCGACTGGAAGGGGGGGAAAGCGTCCCGACTGGAAGGGGGGAAAGCGTCCCGACTGGAAGGGGGGGAAAGCGTCCCGAAGCGTCCCGACTGGAAGGGGGGGGGAAAGGGTCCCGACTGGAAGGGGGGGAAAGCGTCCCGACTGGAATGGGGGGGAAAGCGTCCCGACTGGAAGGGGGGAAAGCGTCCCGACTGGAAGGGGGGGGAAAGCGTCCCGACTGGAAGGGGGGGAAAGCGTCCCGGACTGGAAGGGGGGGGAAAGCGTCCCGGACTGGAAGGGGGGGGGGGAAGCGTCCCGGACTGGAAGGGGGGGGGGGGCGTCCGGACTGGAAGGGGGGGGAAAGCGTCCCGACTGGAAGGGGGGGAAAAGCGTCCCGACTGGAAGGGGGGGGAAAGCGTCCCGACTGGAAGGGGGGGGGAAGGGGGGAAAGCGTCCCCGACTGGAAGGGGGGGGGGGAAAGCGTCCGACTGGAAGGGGGGGGGGGGAAGCGTCCGGACTGGAAGGGGGGGGGCGTCCCGGAAAGGGGGGGGGGGGAAAAGCGTCCCGACTGGAAGGGGGGGGGGGAAGCGTCCCGACTGGAAGGGGGGGGAAAGGTTCCCGGACTGGAAGGGGGGGAAAAAGCGTCCCGACTGGAAGGGGGGGGGGGGGAAAGCGTCCCCGGACTGGAAGGGGGGGGGGGGGGGGGGGAAAGCGTCCCGACTGGAAGGGGGGGGGGGGGAAAGCGTCCCGACTGGAAGGGGGGGGGGGGGAAAGCGTCCCGACTGGAAGGGGGGGGGGGGGAAAGCGTCCGACTGGAAGGGGGGGGGGGGAAAGCGTCCCGGACTGGAAGGGGGGGGGGGAAAGCGTCCCGGACTGGAAGGGGGGGGGGAAAGCGTCTCCGGACTGGAAGGGGGGGGGGGGGGGGAAAGCGTCCGGACTGGAAGGGGGGGGGGGGAAAGCGTCCGGACTGGAAGGGGGGGGGGGGGGAAGCGTCCGGACTGGAAGGGGGGGGAAGCGTCCGTCCCGGACTGGAAGGGGGGGGAAAGCGTCCCGGACTGGAAGGGGGGGGGGGGAAAGCGTCCCGACTGGAAGGGGGGGGAAAAGCGTCCCGACTGGAAGGGGGGGAAAGCGTCCGGACTGGAAGGGGGGGAAAGCGTCCCGACTGGAAGGGGGGGGAAAGCGTCCCGACTGGAAGGGGGGGAAAGCGTCCCGACTGGAAGGGGGGGAAAGCGTCCCGGACTGGAAGGGGGGGGAAAGCGTCCCGACTGGAAGGGGGGGGGGGAAAGGCGTCCCGACTGGAAGGGGGGGAAAGCGTCCCGACTGGAAGGGGGGGAAAGCGTCCCGACTGGAAGGGGGGGAAAGCGTCCCGACTGGAAGGGGGGGAAAGCGTCCCGACTGGAAGGGGGGGAAAGCGTCCCGACTGGAAGGGGGGGGAAAGCGTCCCGGACTGGAAGGGGGGGGGAAAGCGTCCCGACTGGAAGGGGGGGAAAGCGTCCCGACTGGAAGGGGGGGGAAAGCGTCCCGACTGGAAGGGGGGGGAAAGCGTCCCGACTGGAAGGGGGGGAAAGCGTCCCGACTGGAAGGGGGGGAAAGCGTCCCGACTGGAAGGGGGGGGAAAGCGTCCCGACTGGAAGGGGGGGAAAGCGTCCCGACTGGAAGTAGTTAACTAATCTAGTCTAAAGTACGCATTTAAAAACCAATTTACAAAACAGCTATGGGAGCAAAAGGGTTAAAGTGTCAGACTAGGACAGGGGACAAGGTACACATGTGGCAGTAAAGTTCGATTTGAACAGAAACTTGTGAGTGAACTTGGAAAACTCTCAAACTGTAGCATAAGCCCACGAAAAGCACCAAGCCCGGCTAGAACACGGCTCTAACCAAGAGCAGGCAAGCTGCAGCTGCAGAAATAAGACTCTCCATTAATAAAACGGAGCTCATTACATGCTCTTCACTCTGGAATCACAAGAATCCTCTATATTAAAGTCCTGCCGTCCCAGAATCCTTTACTCCCGGCCACTAGGGTATTAATGGATACAGAAGGCAACACTTAGCGGAAACAAAGAACGTCTTTATTCTCCTCTCCTGAATTTCATAGATGCAATAACTGCTCAGGGGGGAGAAGGAGGTCCGGGTGCATTCAAGTTGAATGGGAGGAAAGAGGAGAACCAGGAAAAAAAGGGGGGGGGGGGGGGGAAAGAAAAAAAAAAAAAAAAACTAAATTCATACTACGGTACACAGACGGGACATTTACAACTCAAATACCAGGAATTGGAAGAACTGCATTTTGTGAGACCCGAGTGAGTGGAATTTATGACGTCCTGCAAAGCTGAATAAATAAAATGCTCGAACCTTTAAAGGCACAGTCAGCCTACTGAAATAATGCAGCCAATGCACCAAAAATGAGGTAATAAAAAATTAGACATTTATTAAATTTTAGCACTGAGGGCGGCAGAGCATTGCAACCGTGATCGGTGTGTGTCGTGGATGCAACTCGCAGGCCAAATCTGTATGTAGGTTCAGACCTTCTGTTATGGGTCTGGAGGAAGTTCTGGTTGGACTACAAGTGCCATGATGTCGCTATTCTGCTGCCAATGTGTTCTGCCGACTCTCTTTGCTCTGGTGGAAGACGGGAGTTGTAGTATTTTTTTTTAAAAATTAAGGATCTAAAGGCAAAACTTTTTAAAAATTTGGATAGAGTAGCGAGATTAGGAGGA